TGTTTTGTGAAGACTAGTTGAAGCTTACGAAATTCTATAGAAAATCATGTAAGCAAGTAAGCATTAGTGTTTGTTCGGAACGATGCTGGTCATCTTGTACCATCGTTTCCTATCCGTAAAACTAGTTCGCTCTATTTGATCTGCTTTATGTTATTATATGCATATTTCTGTTGCTTTTATTATTCTGCAAATTCATTTTGTATCTTTTAGGGAAGTGTATGCCTTGTGGACAAAGAAGTTGAAAGATCTCTCCAAGAAATACAAATCCGCCATCGAGAAGGCTAGGCCGTATTATGAAGCGAAGCTTGAGGTAATTGAACTGTTACTTGTACGCCGATCGCCCTCCTTTTTTGTTGATTTGCTGGTTCAGAACTTGATATACCTCACTTTATTTGCTTCGGCTCAGGTTTTTGTCAAATTCCCGTGTGCTCACTCCGTCAACAGATTGCGAGCTTGCAAAAGCAAATGTCGTGGGGTCTTCTTGCGGTCGCAGCGCATGTGTTTGCTCCTGCCTCAGCCCACAGAAGAGAAATACAGAAGTCTCTTCCGTTCTTTGCTCTCGCTCTCGCTTTCCCTTTATCTTTTACGTCTTGTGAGCTTTCCGTAGGCGAAGCTCATGAGCAACCAAGCTTCTTTATGCTGCAAATTCCTATCATCCCAGTCATGCCACTCCCATAATGCGAACATAAGCTCTAGAGGCCCTTTGACTCATCATGCACTAGATCAAATGAAAGATTCAATAGAAATCACGTTGTTTGTAGAGATTCTCTTCCGCAAAGTTCGCGTTCCAACTCTATTTTTGAACCCGCGGGGCATAATTCGCATGTTTGCCAGCTTTATGACTTGGTACCGATATAGCAACTGTTTGCATTTCCCTTTTTGTTGAGAGTTCGAACAGCTATCTTGGGGAATATTTGGAATCTTTATTGGGACATAAAAATTCTGCAGGGAACCGAAGTTTTAAATTTTAATTTTTCAGAAACGAAAAATCGCCGAGGACTCACACAGATCAACTACTCGATTCGGAAAAGCAACGGAGATGTTAGATGTGGCTAAGACTCAAGTGAACTTAACACAAGACAGTTTGTCGAGAGCGAACGGTTCAGTGCAAACTGAATGCTTAGAGGTTTGTTATTGTTTTGTCTCAAAAAGTCACAGTTTGTACTATTTGCTTGTCCTTGTACGGATGATCCTTTTCGAGCTCAAACGTTTGTTTTCATTGGGCGGTTGAAGAATTTGTTTTGTAACCTAGCTTGTTCCACACAAATATTTTCTCTTCAACTTCATAGGGATTGTTTGAGAAACAGTTCTTTACTACTTATGTGTTCACTCGATCATAGAAAGAATATCCTCTTTATGGAATATGTGATCGGGGAATGAATACTTCATTGCGATAATCCATGTGAGAGAGAGTCCAAGCATAAAAGAATCCACTTCCCCCTTTTACATTATCTTTTTCAGGTTTTGAACCACCACATTAGCCGAGTGAATGAAGCAGAGGAAGAACGAGTGGCTGCTCAAGAAGAACACAGAGAGAACTCTGCTCGTATGATGGAGATCTCTGACAGAATATTGAAGATGTATAAAGACAATCGGTAATTAGATGCTTCTTCTGATATCTTTCAATGAAACCTTTTCCTTTCAGCAGTTCCATCGAGAAAGCCAAAACCTATTTTGAAGAACGTCAAGAGTTCACCAAGAAACTTGAAAAGCAAAAGCATCTGATCCAAAAGTTGGAAACTGAGGTTTGTTTTCCGTTTCCTAGCTGTTGTATGAATTGACAAACACCCGTTGAATTTGGACTGAAATTTACAACAGGTGCTCAAACACATTTTGCCAAAATTTGATTTTGAAATGTCGTGGACCACTGATTGACCTGATCAATTGTGTGGGCAGATTCTTCTCTATAGATTAATCGCCACGATACATATGTCAATGCGCAAACTTAATGGAATTAAAACGATACTCTCAATAGGGATCCATTTCAGGTCCGGCAGAAAAAATGTGATTACACAACTTCCTTGCGGAACCTAGAGAAAATATCGGATTCAATCCACGAGCAAAGAAGTCTAGGAGGAGGCTCTATGATCATAAAGTGAGTTCAACGAGTAAAGACTAAAAACAATAATCTTGACAGGTCTGAAGTTCCTCAAAATCCACCACCTTACATCCCAACAGCGCCACCACCGTACGAGGACGACGAACGTTACACTATAGAGCAAGACGAGGTTTGACATTTCGCTACGACACATCTTGAATATTCTCTGATACAGGATGATGTAATTGAGCCCGTGTTTCGTTTGATGAGGCAGCAAGCCCCACAAGATCCATCAGAGGATGAGAGAAACAAGTCTGGAGTGATACTCTCTTTTCAACAATTCATCACTAACAGAGAAAAGAAGGAAAAACCAAAGTAGGTTTTGATATCGATAACTCATTAAAACCAATTTTTTCTCCAGGCTACCATCATTCCAGCCAGATGTAAGCTATAGAACAAGGCCGGAGGGTATTTGCTCATCTCCCGACTCTTCCGACGTTCTTTCCCTCGCTAGTTCGCGTTTATCAGAACCTGACGACGAAGCAATTACTGGTATGATTCGTAGCCACTCCACATTCATGAAGGTTAGCAAGTCTTTTGTAATGTTTTTCTTAATGTCTCATTTCTAGGAAATGGAAGCAATAGAACAAATGTTACATAGAAGCGTGAGTGATGTAGAACCCGACAACATTAATCAGGTCTCATTACCATGTGCCTAGCTGATGGTGCTAAAATGAAATTGCAGTTGTTTTATAACCATATTTCTTCTCTGAGTTATAATAACACGTATAGTTCGGTGATTTCGAATCTCCTTATCGTTGTATATATATGATTATTGTTGTTTCAATGTAAGTTGTAGGCTGTCAGTCCCTGCGGGTCATTTATCATTACATAGTCGTTATTAATTCCATTTTAACCATTTCGATTTAGAATCATCTTGACATTCACGTTCTTGCCGTAATTAATTTCAACAATTGAGACTCCATTCTTTCAGATTGCTCATACAATCTTGCTCTGTTTTTTGTCAACGATTTCACATTGTAGCCCATGTTATGATTTTCATACTTTCACTATTTGAGTATTAAATTTCTCAGAAACTAAAATTTGTTTTTATGGAACATTAATGCGCAACAAAAACTGAACAAGGGTTCAGACATCAACAGAGCCCACAAAACGAAACAATGGTAAGTAGGAAGCACGTGATCACGTGGAGGATATGCTAATGAAGTAGTTAGCGTCGGCACGTGGATAGCTTACTGATTCATTCTCATTAGCTTTGACGCATAGAACGGTTGATTTCGAAATAATAATAGTAATAAACCAAACAATCACAAACAAAAAGTCAGAAAAAGACTTCATATGATGCACTCGTCAGTTTATTCAACAAAACTATCACTTTTGATTCTGTTTAATTGAGGAGTGTAAACAGTTACGGTTTCTGCCTGGTAAAGCACATGAAATAAGCTTTCGCTTCAATATTTGTGTGAATTCAGGATAAAATGAGAAGCTAAATATAAACACAGCTCCATGGTTAATAATGCCACTAGGAGAAAACAATAAGCATTGCTCTTCTCACAACTTGAGCCTAAGCTTGAAAGAAGCAACGATTATTATGCATCTGTGATGATACTGAAGCAATGAAACACTCGAACAAGGAAGGCTCTAAAATCTTCTAAGCTTAAACCACAAGTCGAAGTTCAATGGAGGCTTCTTCACACATATACTAAAGGAATGTCTATAGAAGAGAACTGAGAAAGCGCTAACACCAACTGTACGCATAACGAAGTTAGCTAGTCGAACACAATGAAAAGCATGTTTAACCTTCTTTGAAACCGTATTGTTGTTGTTGTTGAGTATACATGTAAGCTAATTCCTTTTCAGATGTTCAAATATATTTTTGGGAAAGGGGTAACTAACCTACAATCATCTTCTGTTGTATCACAGAGAGGTATAGCCAATATACCCCATTTTGAACGACATATCAGATTTGATCCAAAGGAAGGGAGAAAACGTCCAGCACAAGATGTTTTAGACAGGTATACATTCTATATAATTGATTAACTCACTATAACATAGGTTCAAACGTTTGAACAATGGCATGTGGATTCATGCTCACGCTGGAAAGAATAAACTACGATACATGAAGGACGAAACTTGGCAGAAAACGAGTATGTACATGGAGACATGCACGAAGGTTAGTTAAAGTTTGAATGCAACCGCTCTGTGAGTCTACTGTTCAATAATGAGACGTGCGTCATGAACTCACGTAAGGCCCACGTGTTTTTAATATTCTAATTTTACTGTGCACGTTCATTATTTCAGGCGCAATGCGAAATGCTGGATAAGATGATGACACCATTTTGGTTGAGACCGAAGCATTATCCTAATGATCCCTATAAGGTTTTTCTATTAAAGTATTATGTATTACCTTTTTGTTTAGTCATACCATGTTCGTCATGGAATTTCCTCACCAAGAGTAGACGACAAAGGAAATTTCCTCAGAGAGAGAAAGAAGGTAAGTCCAGTAAGTGTTTCCCTACATACATGATACGTTTTTCAGGTGTTGTTAGACGATACTACTTCAGATAAATATTTCAGTGATAGGTGAATGAGTTGTTTGTTGTTGTTTCTCGTTCTTCTTTTGCGTAGGGATAGTCTCAAAGAAAAATATAAAATGTACGAATAAAAATATTTAATTTCATTGGACTTTCGCATTTGCTCCATCCTACTAACTGTAAGTGTTATGAAGTATAAGAGACATCATTGAGTATTACTCTATTCACCAACTTCTTTGTCAAACCTCTTACAATTCCATTCTCCATTAAGAGCTGCACAGGCTCATGAATCAGACTCTCTTTAATAACATGGAGTGTTAGGGGAAAATATTTATTGGTTCTTATGGTACAGGACTAATTACATTCAAAACCTTAGTTCAGATTTTGGGTTATGAGATTCAGAAAATTCTGCTTGAGCATTGGCAATAGCATTAGCATTAGCTCTTTCTTTTTTGGACATGAATAGCTGTTCAACTTCATCGATGGAATATCCTTTAGTTTCCGGAACGAAGAAATAAACGAAGATCAATGCTATCACAGAGCAACCACCATATAGGAAGAAAGTCCCTGAAAATTGGTTGTATTCAAAGAGATGCGTTTCATCTTACCGTATTTAGTAATAGCTTGACTGAGTGACAAGAATGTCAGCGAGATGAGAAGGTTAAACGTCCAATTGGACGCAGTTGAAATAGAAACACAAGTACTTCTAGCCCATAGAGGATAGAATTCGGCATTCATAACCCATGGTAGAGGAGCATATCCTGCAAAGTATGGATAACGTATTCAGATGCATTATTCGACAAAACCTGTAGAGAAGGCCAATAAATAGAGAACCATAATAATTATGGGAAGTGAAGTGTACTTTGTGTGACAGTAGTTATCTTCCCATTCGTAAGGATCTGCAAGAGTTTCAGTGTTCTTTGGAGTCAACAACAGTGAACAATACCAGATTTAGATTGCGGTACGCTGCACTGTCCAGTCGCTGATTTAGTATCCGTGTTATCAGCTCCGAATGGTAGACAATAACCTTTAAAGATTGTGATTTTGTGATGTTTTATCATATCATCTACCTGTCTTGCTTCCTTTAAGTTCGCAAAAACCACAATTATCATCTGTGACACATGCATCGCAATTTCTTAAAAAAAAGGATTAAGATAGCGTCAACAACTCTTACTGATGTCTTACTTGAAAGTCAGGCAGTGTTGTGCATGAGGCAGTGTACCATTTATAGTGTAGTTGGACTGTGGGAAGACTGCAGCAGAGTCCTAAACTCAGAACATTTACTTAATATTCCTCTTTTACACCCACTTTACTGATCAGAAGGAATGCTACTCCCATAGCAGACACAGTGATAATCACAGCAATTAACGAGCAAATGAACAACACTCTTCTTCCGACTTTTTCGATTAACGCCATTGGAATGAAAGTACCAATAAAGTTAACAGCTGAAATCATTATGATGTACTTCTGCATGAACACCCGTTTATACCTGAAGTTCCAACTGAAATCCAAATCGTAGTGTGCTTATTCTTAACTCCAGCGGAACGAATAATATTTCCTGTATAGTACCTATGAAAGAAAGAGGATTTGAAGAAGCTATTGTTGAGTCTTACATCACAGTGTTGATACCAGAGAGCTGTTGGAAGGCTTGCAACATACTTCCGATAAAGAGAGCTTTCCGTACATGAGGAGTTCTGAGGACTCTGAACAGTACAGGGCCACTGTCAGTACTTTGTGCTTTAACCACTAATTCGTAAGATTCCTTGATTTCGCTCATTTCATAGTCGACCCATTCCTTATTACCTCCATAAATTTTTTTGAGAACCTAAAACAGAACACGCTCTATGTCAAACTGATATCTTATCAAAGTAAGAATTTGAATTGTCACACGTGCCAACAATCTTATAAGCACATGTTATACCCCACTGATTGTAATTTTCTTTTCTTTTCGAGAATTTCAAGACAAAGTAGTTGTGCTTACCTCTTCAGCTTCGTCCGCTCTGTTGTGCTCAAACAACCATCTTGGACTCTCAGGCAGAAAAATGAAACAGACAAACTGAATGATAGCTGGAACACCAGCAAACCCGAACATAAGTCTGAACGAAAGCGTGGATAACAATAAGGTTAAGCCTTTATACCTCCATCCCACACTGTCAATGTAACTGAAAGCTCCTCCAATCACGTTGGAAACGACTAATCCGACTGTTACCATCAATTGAAAACCAGTAAGCAAACGACCTCTGATATGCGAAGGAGAAGCTTCTCCCACATATACAGGTACTACCATAGAAGCGAAACCTGTAAAGAAATAGTAATGAAAACTCTGCTGCCCAAACTATAACCTATAGCTAAGCCAAGTAGAATTCTGCCAAAGAGTAAACTGATTTTTGACCAAGCTACCGCACATATTATGGCCCCGATAGTGAATATTATACAGGCACTTAATATGATTTTTTTTCTTCCGAAAAGATCAGAAGCAATTCCACTGAGCAGTGAACCAAATACAGCAACTCCTAAAGATTATATTTGAAACGAAATCAAAAACCATTATAGATATTAGGTGTCATTTTGATGGATTGATAACTAACTGAAACTAAGGAGGAGAAGTTGACCAGATGATTTATTTTTTTGCCCCCTTTTTACAAGCCAACATATCATTCGGCTTCTTACAGACCGTAGATACATGTCAAGAGATTAAACAGTTTACCTGGCGTAATACTGACGATAACTTCTTGCCATTCTGAACTCATTGGTTTCATACTTTTGTCATCCGGCACAAACAACATAGCAGCCGAAACAATACCAGTGTCATAACCAAAAAGGAAACCACCTTAAACACAAGAAATATGAACCAGTAGAAGATCTAAACTTGCCTATGACAGCAGCAAAGGCGAGAATATATACAAACCATCCTACTTGTGGATCACTGACAGGCTTTGGTTTCGAACTTCCACCCGTTGAAGCCTTAATTTGAAAACAGAGAGATGTGATAATAAACTAAAAATAGAACTTACAATATTAACTTGTACCATATTTCATAGGTGTGGGTCCGTCGCACTACTGAAAATGATTGATGTCACTTTTGATGGAGAAACTATTTAAACGCAATTTTCAATACAAACAAGGTGTTATGCATGGCTCAACATAAATTGAAGGATAGTAACATACTAGTCCCTATTAAAACTACATCAGAGTGCATGATTTTCAGAGGATAATCTGATCTCAAACTTCATGGCGGAACTCAAACAGTTGAGCTCAACATGAAAGTAAAAACTGTTTTATCATCATGGGTGGAAATTAGTGTAGTTCAAGCACTGGAACATTTGCCTTTTAAATGTAAACTTCTTGTCGCCACATGGCTTGTAAGATAAGGAGCTAGACTAATGACTCAGTAAGCATCTCAAAGAACTTTTTGAGCAAATTAGATAGTTCCACGAAGGAAATGGATCTAGCGTTTCGATGATCTGCAATACAACATGACTAAAGAACGAACTGCTGCCTCTGATCTTTAGAAGGCATATCACAATGACGACTCACACACAACAGTATAAAAAAAGTTCAGATTAAACTGACCAGCTATGCTTGATAGCTAAGAGGATTGTTATTTCAGAATTTCAACAATTTTTTTGATCCCCTTGACTCTTTGAGTGACAAAGCTTAAACACGCAAAGACCATGCTTAGTTGATTACTATCTTATCACTTTTCTTATGAGCACGTTAGTTATAATCGTGTTAACTATACATCTATCTATCCACGTTTCTACAATTGGAAAATTTCCTGTAGCAAGGAGGGATGAAAACATGTAACTTAGACTTTGAAACTCATAAAAGAACACGGGGCTGCTAATAGTACATAGTGAAGGCTAGAACAAACTAGGAAGAAGCATGATGTGCGGAAAGAAATGTGAAATGAACGTAGTAATCTACTCCTGTTCAAAAACTAAAAAGAGGTAGGAATTTCGGCTTCTACTTTATGAAGTTGCTCAATTTTATGAGTGTCCTTCAAGGGTCAAGATAAGAAGCAAGCACAAGGTACAACTCACACCATTCACATGAAACTCAATCTATAGAGAGGGCATGCTTAGCATTTCAAATAAACACACAAGATATATAAAAGAAATGTTGAAAAAAGCATTACCTTCCTACGAGATGATTCATTGATGCTCAACCGTTCAGCAGGTCCGCTGTCCCAGTCTTGGACTTATGCGAAAAGCGACCATACATCAACCTTACGCATTCCCCAATGACGCAGAAATTTGACTAATTATTATAGTACAAAACCTGTAATAAAATAATTGAATATTAAAGATATTCATGTTACACTTCTGTTAAACTTACGCAAATGAGGTTTGAGAGACCATTGGGTTTACCCGACCACTCTCCCCAACGAAATGAATGAAACTGTTTACGTATTGTTTTTGCCACGCGCACGTGAAATCTTACGTGAAATTCCACGCTACGCAAACACGTGATAATCTTACGTAAAACATCACGCAACGTGCAATACGTGGTAATCTTATATACAGTTGCTCGTAAACACACAATCGTAAATGTGTGGTCTGTTGGAGTTACGAAATGACACGGTTGTGATATAACGTCATAAAAATAATACAAGTAATTTAGCAGAAGACATAGTAATCAATCGATACATGTGCATTCCTTGTGCTCCATTCGTCACAAAAATAACTTTGGTTCACCAAACTCCGGCGTATCCTGTGACAAAAATAGAAATTTAAAATTAACATGAAAACATCCGATGATTTGGCCAACGAGAGTTTTTCCCCCAAGTTCTATACAAGCAGCAAAACATTCAATGATGTGGGTTATCATCTTCATTCAAAAACATACTTTTCCAGAAAGTAAAAGTGCCTTTACAATGGAAGTTTTACAATCGAGAAGAAACATTCCTATGTGGAGATCTATTGGTGAGTTCCAGAGCACTGTTTCTCCAATTGTTTCATAGATCAGTAAATACAATGGCTTATTCTGGAGGAAGTCTACAACTCGGACCTGTGTTTTATTGAAAAATGGAAAACTAATAGTGTACAGGTTAGCCCTTTGATTGTTCTTCAACGCTTCTTGTTGTTGCTGTAGCGATGTAGACAGAGGTCTTTCTATTAACCTACGAGAGCTCAGGGACGTTCGGCAACTGTACTCTGAAAAAGAAACGAAGGAGGGTGTTGTAAGTTAATTATTCAGCTTATGTTAAGGGCATTGTATTAAGACTAAAGCTTTGGGCGAGTTTCTACTCTTGAAAGATAATCATCGTTTAAAAGTCATCGTGAAAGGTTTGTTTTAAATTTCCTCTTCCCCTCTTTGAGAGTATAAATTCTTGAAGGTGACAAATCGTTTGTAACGTCCTGGCGCTGCGGAATTATAACAGCTCATCATGGCTTGGACTTGCCCTCTGTAGAAGAGATTGATGAGTATACATGGTGTAAGTGCTAGTGGTGTCCTTTCAAAAATATATAAATAACGCTTCTTCCCTTGCAGCTCAAAAGGTGGTCGATCCTCACACAACTTCATACGACACGTTTGTCAATTCTATGGTAGATCGAGCTTTAAAATCAAATACATCGATGCCGTCCTTAGCCTTAGCCTATTCTACTCTCCCCAACGCAAAGTACAGCGAAATGTGAGTTTGTTTTCTTCAACTTCTCACATTATCTTCTTATTGTTATAGAACGAGTCTTATGAGAAAAACAAATAGTTTATGTTTTGATAGAAGTCTCAGATCCGCTCCGTCTTTCTTATGCAAAAATGAATCTGAAAGCTTTCAAAGGTAATTGCTCCGTATAGCCTTTCTCCTCTAACTCTCTGTTTTACAGTCCTGAACCTAAAGAGATCGCGACTGCTAGCATATCAACTGAAAGCTTCCTCTCCAAGGATGTTCTGGAAGAGAGAGAATTAGATTCTGGTGTGGAGTCTCCCTCAACTAACGTAAGATTTCTATCAAACTTTATCTTCTAAATGTTTTGTTTAGGACTTCGGGATAGACGACGAGGAAGAACTAGAAATTTTCAAAGCCCTTCGCCATGATTTATTTGATCAGCCATTGGAGGATGAAAACATATTTTTAAAACTTGAAGAGCTCAAAAGGAAAAACGAGCGACTATGCTTTAGAGTATCAGACACCAACTGGTATGAGAAGAGTCGCTTCAACGGTTTGCCAATCATGATGGCGGATCAATTGAATCTCAATTCTGTCATGGAAATTAAAGAATACAATTAGAAGTAGTTGATAAGAAAACGTATTTATACTGTTTTATTATATATAATAAAAAATATAGATACAATTAATGAGAAGCACTAGTTGTTAACTGACATTATTGGATAACCTGTAACATGTGACTTGAAAATATTTTGAATGGTTCTGTTCAGTCAGAACAGTATGAGAACTGAAATGAACAGTTCCATGCAATTATGAGAATACAAAGGTAATAGAGGTATCTTAAGCGCTTAGAGAGATTCTGACAAGATTTAGAGTGGATGCTCCGACGCATCTATATCTATGTGTGGTTCTGATGAACTCGTCTTACTACAAATGGGCTAAACTATGTACTTTTACCCGAGTCTGTGGAACAGGGTCTGGATGAAATCGTTGTTCTTCTTTGCAGATTCAAACATCTGCTCGAACACACGATTTCATAGGTCGTTTCTTGGTTGATGGACTTAGTGAGATTGTAGATGATGCTGAGGAGTTTCCTTTTCCAGAGTCTCGGCAGTCTTGAGACAAATCCAAACCAGGTTCTGGACTTTTCGTTCTGACAGAAACTATACAGTCGTCCAGATGTGACTGTAGTAAATCACAAACTCTCAATGAATCACACAGCATGGAGTCATAAACCTAAGAGACCAGCAGTATAAGGAGTAGCCGATTGCAACATACCTCTTTCTCAAAAAGACAGTTGTTCATGCTCTTGTCTTCTTTCTTCATGATTTTGGCGTGTTTAGGAATGCTTCTGAAAAATACATTTGTCAGATGGTGAGAGAGAGAGGTTCAACGTACCGAGCTACCATAGGTTTATCCGCTGCTATGGTTTCCAGTGCCTCTAGTAGAGCGCAAGGATCAAAAGGTATGAGATCGTCAAGTGATTGAGACTGAAGAAGATGAATTGTTTTCAGGTTGAATTAGGAAAAGTTATACCTTTGTGCCCCAAAACGATTTTTCTCTGCCCTTCTTCTTACGATGAATGCTGGCAGGTAGTGTTTTCGAATCAGGCAATTTCTTAGCTTTTGATTTTTGAGAGTTATTCGTTTTTGTCTATTGAAGAATATATTGGATGGGAGAGATGTTAAATGTTACCTGGACAGTTTTCGTTGGAGTTAGGACAGATTTGATGTCATCTGACGTCTTAGTTCCATTTATTCGTTTTTTTCTGTGAAACAGAGAAAGAAAGGGAGAGCTCTTGCCCTCAGAAGATGTCATGGTGCTTCTGAACAAGATTTTGAAATAAAAAGTAAGAATAAACAAACAATGTTATAGAGCGCTCAAACACCGGAAAAGTCGAAATAGACACCAAATTGAGAATTGTGTTTATGAGGAGAATCACGAATAATAGGTTTGAGTGGATATGCATAGTGGAAGAATGTAAAACTCAATCAGAAAAATAATAAAACAGATAATTGTGGTATATGGTTGTATTGGACTTATTCAATACAATACGATGGTCGTCATATTAGGAACTAAGCCTTCTATTAACCAAATCTTAGTGTCCATCATACACCGTCCATCTACACGAGTTACCAAAACAAGTCAATTGTCTGTTAATGTTCTCCGTTTCTCCGGAGGACTATGAGGATATGCAGAGAACGGAGGCAAGATATGCCCTTTGTTCTCACTCACTAGTTAGATAAGCCTATACAGGATACGGAGATGAGAAACATCTAGGGGGAGGTTAAGCCAAATAACACTTTTTCAGCTATGTCTCTTATAACGTATACATTCGTCTCCTATTTATGAGAAGTTCTTTTAAAGAAAAATTTCAGAACAAAATATTTATTTTTGAAAAGTCTCAGGTAAAGTGAAGTGGCCACTTGAGTTGTTGAGTGATTGTCAAAGGGGTTTGGCTCTTCCACAAATTTAAAAAAAAGGTGAGAAACGGAAGTTTGTGTAGACTAGGGTTAGAAAGTCTACTCATAACGGAGAGAAAGAACAAAAGCAACTCCATTTTTGTGTTGAAATGAAACTTGAAAATTGTAAGGAAGGAAGGAAGAGTAGAAAATGGAAAAGTATGGAACGTCCTCCATTCATTGTGAGGAGTTACAAAGGATTTGTGTCGAAAGAGAATTTGAAGTAATCATGTAAAAAGAAATGAAGCATTCGAGGTATAGAGGTATAAGCCACACGTACAGGTACAAACACTGAGAAAGTGTTGAGTCAACATAGTATTATGGATGGATTAGAAGACGAGGGCAACATCAGATCAAGTCTTTCTTCACGATGAGTAATAGATAGATGTATGGAATTATGTTTTGGATAACTCGGAGGTATGAGAGTTGGGTTTGCGTGAAATCTATTCCACGCAACGTAATCTCTGACTCTCACGATGTTTCCACTGAACGGGTAACAGGGCAGATAGCGGAGAATATTTTCTCTGCGCTCTCTTCTTTTGCACAATGTCTCAAGTAAAAAAGAGCTGAGATATAGTTGGAGATGTATCATAAAGATGTTGAAAGGAAGAAGTAGAGGTCTTAAATGTCGGTGGAGAAAGTCTATCGAGTAACATCATAAAGAAATGACTTGACGATGTTCTGAAAGAGCTTTTCACCTGCACATGCTTCTTTTTGTACACGAAGACAACGCTGTTCGTTGATTCTGTTTGTGTTTCTCATTGTATTTGTACAGTCTGAGTAGTAGGATGGAAAGATAGTGACATAGACTAGGGAATGGAGTAAGTTCTATAGGTTAGTAGTAAAAGAAGTATACGATTTGATAAATACAATAAAATGTATAAATATAGTTTTATCAATCTAAAAAAGGTTGCAACAATGCTAATTCTATGAGAAAGATATGTTTCTGCAGTTGGTGAGTTTAAGAAAGAGAGATTGATGTTGCAAAGTCGGTTTACGCAATGGCATCGTTTACTTTTCATCCATAAAATTATATGAGCCATTTCAGGGCAACACATAATGCTTAGCAGACAAAAAAGGAGAAAAAACTATTTGAAACCTTAAATTCAAAATGCTGTATCATCAGGGTGTTGAGGCTTTACTCTAAACATGAACCTTTGTCACATACAACAAGATGTGTCAAGAGAGTATGTGTGATGCAACAAGTGTGATACCCCATGCAGAATTCATAAAAAATGGAAGTTTTGACAGTTATTAGTTGTGCGGGGGTGAGGATGGGGTGAGAAATTTGCGATCATTTCAAAAAAACCTTTCCACATGGATGGCTTCGGTGAGTTTGATTACACACATGGAATCAACCTGAGGTTGTAGGATGACCTCAGCAGATCAATGAATGTCTATGAAAAGAATTTTCTTAAGTATGAACTGTTTGAAAATGAATATTTTGTGTTCGAAAATGCTAATTTCATGCTACTTTGAATGTCAGTTAGGATAATAGGATAACTGTCTGTAGAGAGAGAGAGAGGGAGAAGAAGAAGACGATGAGAAGAGCATCATGAAACATGATGACAAACGACTGAACATACGGTTCCTCGTTCCAGCTTTTTACCATTTAGGATGAAGTATGGTTTTAAGCATTCAAATGTGATGGAAAAGCCGACAATACTAAGGAAATGCATTGTCATTTGGAGAAGAAATGACCAAGACTATCGCGTGTGGATGCAATGGCTTGGCTGTCATTGTGAATTTGGCTATTCACATGAAAAAAGGAGAATTTTAAAGAAATATAAGATAAATAATAAGAAAAAAGATTTTGGCTGTTATAAATTCAAGTTTTGAATGAACATGGAAGGTCGATGGTGGGAAGATGATGAAGAGAAATGGCACAAAGTTTCATTTTTTCCAGGAAATGTCAATGTGATTCGGAAAAGGTTGATTGGAAGCGAAAAAAAAACGGAACAAGAGTTTCAAATGTGAGGTCGTAAGGAGAGGCGGCAAATTAGAATGAGACGTCAAATTACACGTGACATGAGGGATTAGAATAAGTTCATTTCGCTATGGTGTTGACTCAGAGAACGGTTGTGGGGTGATAAATACAAGAAAATGCGGATGTGTAAGTAACGACTTACACTTTCATTGTCAATACAAAATGCTATTTTAAGTATTCGTGGATGATTAGCAGCAATCATATTGATTCTGATAGACAGAAAATCTGTTCGTTTAAACAGAATAGATTGAGTAACAATCGAGAATGATAAGATTGTTAATTAATGAGAAATGAGCCATAAAATATTTAAATTTCAAAGTTAGACATTCATATTGGATAGAGAGGAGGTTTTCACTTCAAGTTGCCTTGATAACGACTATCCTCGATCCGATTCAATTGCTTTTTAGAACGAATAGACGATGAAAAAAGCTTTAAAACACAAACATGGATGAAATGCAATGCAAAAAGAGTTTTGTAATCAAAGACAATCGTAATAAAAGTATTTTAACACGGAGTGAGCAATAGGAATGTTCTCAAAAGGCTTAAGCATCTCTAGCTGCTCCATCCCCCCTCTCCATATGTCAGTTCACTCAACTTTTGACGAAAACAACGTTGTCTTGAAGAATGTTGTGAAATGAGGAAGAGGAAGACGAAAATCCAAATGAGATTCGCACAGAAACAGGTATTAAAAGTATAAATACAAATAACAAACAATGTATTATCCCGAAAAACTACAGAAAAACGAATGGGATGCGTCATGGTGAACCCTTGAGTCTTGGGACTCGCATTACAAGTCCAGCCCCTTTGCTATCATTTCTCTCTCTCTTCTCTCTCTTTCTCCTTCTTCTTCATTCTTTATCCTCAATTCTCTCCCTTTCAGAATTAATGATTATAAAAAGAGGGATTCTATGATATATCCACAATATGTTTCATCAACCGTTGTGGTCAAAATGAAGACGTCGGGCAGTGACAGGTGCACGGCAGCTGATCACAAGGCGTCTTTAACTCTTTTTACCACCAAGTGAACGAGAGAACTGTCATGAGGCAAATTTACATTTGTTTGTTTGCTTTCCTCCTCAACAAACCCAAAAAATGGCTGTTGTTTTCTATTGTTCTTAATGAACGAGCCTTATCGCGAACAGTAGCCAGACAGGCATATTCGGATTCGAGATGTATCTGACGGGTGAGATACGATTTCACTCGAAAACTCTGTCAAAGTTCACACTTTAAGATCATAAACTTGGGAGGAGAGAGCAAGAGCTGTGAGCAGATTATGACAAAAGCTTAGTTTTAATCATAAAAACGAAAAACTACAAGACTTGATAACAATAAATAATCTTCGAGTGGACTTTTTCAATGAATTCTGGAGATGAGCAAGTCTTTGTCTCCCCAACCTCTAACACACTGTGAGAAAATGATTCTGAAGCTGCAGCTTCTCATGAAATTTTGTAAACATGTGGCAGTTTTTCGAATAAAATGGAAGATGATGATGATAGAAGTTGTTGGAAACGAGATCAGAAGGATGAAATTGTTGTGAAAGTTGCGTAGAAATCTGCTGGTTGCGCATCAATTCCCATGGGTTTTACATGACCACTTTTGCACAGAAAATGATAGGCACAGATGTCATAACGATGAAGCTTATGTCGGCATTTCCTTATTTAGAAACATGAAAGACTTCACTCTCTGTTGACATCATTCAATACATGTTATTTGAAAAGGAAAAAACAGATTTTAAAATCACAAAATGATGAGCTATTCGTTCATCTTTCAGGGTTTTGTCAGTAAATTTGTCATTTCTGAGGATTTGGCGCGCAAAAGAAAACAACTTTGTGAACGAATGGATGAAATTTCTTCCAGAAAAGGCAAAAAACATAAGAAGAGAACACAATCGAATTCGGAACAAAAGGAATTTCATGTAGGAAGTTATAGTTTGTATGTGCAACAAGAGATGTTGAGAAATGAGTGCAACGGTGAGTGCTCTTCTTACTCCTTTGGCTGAGAAGAAAATTTTTATCGTCGCTCCTCTAGGTCGGCATCTATCAAAGGGTCAAATCGGATCATAAATGATTGGAAATGGTGAAGGATAAATGGTGTCCGAAGCTACTTCTACAACTTGTGAAATGAGATAAAAATACTTTTTAGAGGATAATATAATAGATAAAAGAGGAAATGAACAACATTTATAGGAATGCAACCGCTCTCTGACTTAACTACCCAACAGAATGAGCAGTCGTTACCATCTTCACGCGTGCCACGCATTTGTGGTTTATGCAAATGAGCAATGAAGCGAGCGAAAGTGAGCAGACGACGTTCATGACTTACATTTTTTTGAAAGAAAAAAAAATGTTTTAAGATTGAAAAGAAGGAAAGAAGAAAGAATCGTTGACGACAGATGCGATCAAAATTTGTCAACGTAAAAGGAGGAAAAGGATGAACACACAGCAGGACTTCAGTACAATCCTCTATCGACCATATGGATCATGACTTTGATTAAAAGCTCAGTGTTAATAGAATTTACAGTAAATGTTGGAATCTTATCTTAATAGAATCACTCGTCTTTTCATCTTTCCATCTTTTATGGCCATATAATATGAAGAATGAATTGATACTCATCGATTTAGCGCACAATCGCCAAAGATGAAGAAGAAGACATCGAAAGAACAAGTGTGAAAACACTCCGTTTTATTGTTTTTTCGTCACTTTGTTGTTCAAAAATATGTTTGGAACTTGGACAAGAATTCAGAATTTCATGCAAGTCTGATGACACACATGCAAGCAAAAGCTAAAAACGACGATCACTTTTTCTTATGAAATTCTGTATTTGCTTGATAGAGACAGTAGGAGAGAGAGAGAGAGAGAGAGAATGAGATACAGAAAGAGAAAGAAATGGAAAAGATAAAAATCTCAAAACATATGGAATATTCTTTTTGACCGTTTATCCCAATTAGTCGTCAGCTGAGAGACAATGGAAACACAGGTTTAAACAGTCTATTCTCGTCTTCCAGAGGTCAATTTAATTAACACCAAAAATTATATAAATTCTGACATTATCTTGATATGAGAAAGAGAAAGGAGCAATGAGAGGGGGGGGGAGTTGCAAGCTGTTTTCTGCTTCAGGTAATCTGGAGACCAGAAGCGAGCCATTACCTAATGCAAGGTACGTAAGAATCGAATTTCACCCAACCACCTGTAATTCAATTAATATTCTTATTAACATTACAGAGAGAGAGGATAGTTTGGGTCAAATTATTAATCAAAGTAAAACTTATTTAGTCAAATAAGGCGGCAACTTAGAGGGATTTTCTTTTGTGGATGTTTGGTAAACATACAGCCACATGAAGAGAGCCCAGGTGTGAGTTGGCTAGATCTTCTTCATACTATTCAGAAAGTCCACTATTATGATCTCTCTCTCTCTCTCTCTCTCTCTCTCTCTCTCCCTTTCTCTCTTTTCCTTTCGTTGATTCTCTTTCTTCTTCTCTTTTATCTAGCAATTTCCGCTTTTCTTTAGTTGGAGTGATCCGCTGATACCAGAAGGCTCAAAGACAAATAAAGGCATCTGGTACATGTGCATGTTTCAGTTTAATTGGGAAACAGGAGGAAATACGGTGCAAAAGAGAAAAGCATAGATGACTGGTAGAAGCAGAAAGTTAGTTATGAAATGATGAAAAAAAAAAAAGAAAGAGGGTCAGATCAATATGAACATAAGTAGAGCTCTCCATTAAGATTCAGTCATTGTATTAAAAGCAATAAATAAGAAGATATTTGACATGATTGTATGTATTTGACCCAAACAGTGGCAAACATCCACAATAAATAATATTATTGAAAGTTAAATTGAATTTCAAACCAATCAATACATTTACATAAAATAATTATGTGGAACATTATGCTAATGAAGTTCACAAAGTGAATATTCCACGTAGTGTGGAAGCATCAATGAGGAGTCATTTTGAACTTTACAATTCAGTTGAACGGTTGCATTCCATAAAAAATATGAGAGACATGGTTGGTAGTAGTTATAGGAAGTCGAATATTATTTATAACCTTCAAAGACTTTCAATTCAAACTGACTGATGAGGAACACCTGGCCTCTTGCCATACTATTTTTCTCAAAAAAAGCCAAAATCATGGGTTTAGAGTGGGTCTCAGAGGAAAATCGGACGGTTGGAAAGCTTCTGGCTTATGACGGTTCAACAACATTTCTTGAAAATTCTGCGGATAAACACACGAATCGTGTGAATTGATGAACGCTTACTCAGCAGAAACAAAAAAAATGTTTTTGAATGAAAAAGATGAAAAAATCAGAAAATGACACGTCAGGGGTGCTAAGGTTGGCAGAATCAATGGAATATTCGAGATGAAGAATGAACGGTTCAACGATTTTCGGAAAATAAAATGATGTGAAATGGCTTTTATACTTTCCACTGGAATGACAAACAGTGATGATGACCGAGAAAGGATGTGACTGACTTTGAAAGATTTGGAGCATCGAAAATGGCTGCAGAGCTAGCAATGATGTGCTCTGTCAGATTGCTCCAGAAGATAGCAAAAGGCTATAAAAGCAGTGTTCTCTCGGGAGATCATGAGATGCTACGAGCTAATGATAAACAAAAATTAGTGTACCAAGGAAATGTTAAGAATAAATAGAACATTAAAGAAACAAAATCAATTATTGTCATTGTGACTCGCACGTTGTCAGCGTTCGACTGGCTGCGATGGGACGGCGAAATTGAATGGGTGTGGGGAGAGGTGTAGATGGAGAAGAGGAAAGTTGGAGACAACCCATGCTGTTGCTCGTCATTCTCATCATCGTCAAGCTCTTCACTTATTATCATCTGCCGTAGCGGAAGGCAATACGTAAGAGGGATAGATTGAAGATCAGCGAAGGATTTTAATAGAACGAACAGCTGACAGCATAAGAGATTCTATGAAGAAGCTGCGAATTGGAAGTAGCAGCAGACGGGAAGAAAAAGATAAAACTGCTCATATATCTGTTTCGTTCCTTCAATTTTATCTTCTTGTTCTTCAGATAATGTCATTCAAAGTTGAGAAAAAAGTATTTTCGTTCTCCAACGATTTATGTTCTCCAACTCTTCGATCGTCTGAACAAGTGATGACGGCCATTAGAAGAGCTTTTATTGGCGGAACTCAGCGTTTTCAGAACATTACGATGAAGTTAGATGATTTCTGATGATTTCAAGAAGATAAAGTGATTTGTTATCTATTGGCTTTGCCTCAATCAAAGGAAAACCAAATGAAATATAGCTTCAGCTGTTTCTTCTTACAAAAACATTGTGTGAGTCAGCGAACTCTCTCTCTGAAGCAAGTTGCGAGGAAGTAATAAAAGCTGAATATATAAGGAGATAAACACTCGAGTTGAATGGAAGGAGAATCATAGGAGGAAACAGCTCATAGGACAGAGAATATAAAGATGTGTGTTTTTTGGTGTCAGCTATACAACAAGGTGATAGGATGTGTAATAAGTAAAGCAAACTCGCAGCTCTAGGTGGTATCGGTAATTAATTAGTCCAACACTTGGCTCTTCTCTGACACGAATGTCTGAAAGACAAAAAAGCATTGGATGCTTTTGCATAAAGCATCAGAAGTTGAGCAACACTTTGGTGAAGGACCACCCAGCTGGATGGATGGGAATGAGTGATGTATAACACATGCAGAAGCTTAGAAGAATCTGAGAAAGTTTGAAACATTTTTCCCACAAATCATAAATCTCTTCTTGTCATAGAAAGAATAGCAAAATGTTTCTGAAGGCTATATACAAAATAATTTTATTCACATAGACGACTGGGCATGTAATCAATTGACCGAAGGCATATAAGCAGTAATACAACTGCCGAAGGAATTCCTTTGTGAGAAAAAAGACAAAAACTGTAGAATAGTTGTAATGAGAGAGTATTTTTATTTTGATAAACATCAATTGAAGTTTTGTAGATGTTGAGAGAAACAACTTTAAAATAACTGGAAAGAGCTGCAACGATTCTTCGGCATGGATCTCCACCAACATCATGAGCCACATCAATTGCATTTGTATCGAAAAAATGTTTCAACTACATCCGGCATTGGAATTCATTCACTCCCTTTCTCTCTCTCTCTCTCTCTCTTTTCCTTACTTAAGTTGGCAATGTACGAATTCATAAGATGGAAATATCTTTGAAGAGAAAAAGGTTTTTTGAGACTATACGACGATGATCCGAAAAAGGAAAGAATGCGTGAGAAACGGAACAACTAACGAGCCACTTGCCTCGAAACACAAACTCCATAAATGGCCTGACAACTATCGATGAACTTATTTAGGCCTTAAAAAGAAAAGATACATCGTTGTGAGATCTTACATTGGTTTGGAAGAATAAAAAACTCTTTGAATGAGCAGAAGCTTAAGTGGCTTGTGAGGCCTTCATTTATAAATTGAAGGAGAGATTCAATAAACTTTCGTCTTTCAATATTTTTTCTTTCGTTTCTCTCTTTGTAACAGAATATTTACAAACAAATATTATATTTTATTATATATTATATTCACTGGAATAATACCCGAACAATTACAATTTAACAAATGGAAAAAGACTTTCTTGTTTTGAGATCAACTTGAAATGTTTTCTTTACTCTTTACAACCCGTTGTATTTTCTTTTGGACTAGAGAGAGAGAGAGATGGATAGATAGACAGGAGGAGATTGCTTTTCCTTAAACTTCTACTGATTCCATATGTTCACGTAAAACTGGCTGTGGTTGAATATCCGATAACTCCTTCTGGAATGAAAAATTCATTATTGTTTCAACCGGTCACGTGCGCATTTGCAAACTAAAGGAGGCCGCATGCAAAACGCAGACTGAGCCCGTGCGAATCCACGTGGCTTTTCGCGCCTAATCACGGCTTTGAATATGGCGTTGTTTTGCACGCAATGAGTTGGGTTTGCGTATTAACTAACTTACCACAAGATCTTTGGCGGAAGTTCGTTTCTTTGGGTCCACCAATAGGCATTTTGGTATTTTCTGTTTTAATTGAACCAATCCTGGATCGCTGAAAATGAGATGCGTGTTTGAGACTTCTATGCGGAAACAAACATCTTAATTGAGTTGTCGTGCCCTGTTGACAATCGAGAATAGAAGTTCTTAATTGATTTATCAGAGATTGTTCCTTCTGATGACTCCCAAAGAGAATTGAGAACTCCTAATGTCACTATTTCACTTAAAAGAAGACCGAACTGCCAGCTGAAATACACTTCTTGAAAAACAAAATAAGATCTTTGGCTTACATATCACCCGGAGCTGCAAACACTTTTCCATTTATAACTTCTGGAGGCAAGATTGAAGGCGATACATTCATTGGACCAATGTTCAGAATGGTTTCCCCTTGGATAGAATGTTCTAAAATGAGAAGAAGGTGAGAGGCCAAAGAGATTCAGTTTACCATAATCTCCTAACTTTGCCATCTGATCACATGGTAGATGAAGACAATCTCTGTATGATTTTAATAAATAAATACAATTAGTCGTGATTGATCCATGAACACAGTTCTGCAGATGAAGGAAGTTCTGGAAAGCGGGTATCACGTAACACTATGCGATTGAGTAGTTTACCACTGCGCTGGCGATTTGTTTAGAAAAAGTGTACAAGTGGACGGTCAGACGGTCGATTTTCTGTTGGAAACGGTCAAGCGATCTGTAAGTCACAATCATAATATCTGTTTTCTTTCTCGTTTGCTATTACTCATGACTCTGATTAGATCCATCATATCCAGAGCTGGCTGGGGAAGGAGTGTTGTCATTACGGCGGTCAAACAAACATGTACGAACTTCAGATAGGAATGTATTCAAAGTTCCACCTCGAATAGGTTCAAACAGAACTCCTAATGCCTTTAAAGTGAATATGTTACTGATGAACATCCCAAATAACTCTTACTTGACTTTCTCGCACAGCTAATCCTTGGAAATACAGAAGACCAGGGTGGTCCGTGGAAATTCTGGAGACAATACCCAGTTCATGACGTAGGGAAGCAGAGTCATCTTCAATGAGATTCAAGTAATAATTCGAACATTGTTAGAAACCTACCAGCTGAATATTTCATTAAATAGGCTGAACCATCGGTCTTATCTAGGGCATGGCAACTCGACCAACCAGAGCTGGATGAACGATGATATTGAGTAACATGCAATCTATCGAATGGCAGCCTAGAAGAAATAACTGGTTCAAATATGATTCTCGTAGAACTTACGCCATGACACCGTGTAAGTTAATTCCTGAGTAGATGGGGTTTGCTCTTGTTAAGCTACAGGAAGATAAACGATCAAAGTAAGACTGAACAGAGATATGAGAAAAGGTATTATAGAAAGAACTCACAGCCTCGCTACGCGTTGGGGTGTCCAAGGAATCGTATACGCCTTCATCAGGGTAGTATTGAGGACTCTTAGATGCAATCTAGAAGAAAAAGAAATGAAATATCGAAATTCTCAATTATCCGAACTCACCATATTGCTATTATTGATATGGTTCGAGATCTCACTCTCATCACTCGATATTGGGCGCCCTCTTCCATCGACAATTGTTAAACAATGAGATCGAGGTAAAGTTGATGCTGAAGAAAAGTTTTGAAATTGATTCTGATGACTCGTTCTCAAGATACAGAAGGTTTAAGATTTAGTGACGTCACCACTGGCCTACGCATCCAACTAAAGGTCCGACTCAGCCGTGATGAGCTAGATAGCCGATCTCGGCAAAAGTTGGAAACTGATCGAAAAATATTTTTTTTTCTAGAATTTTGCCAAATTTGGTGGTCATACTAATTCTGAACT